TTATTAAAAAATTAAAGTTTAAAAAATAAATGCAAACAAATTTGCCTGTGTTATAATTAGTGTTTGTAGTTGATTTTGTGTTAGTCGATTTTATCGACTTAGCCAGCTTGGTCAGTTGATTTTTCATAAAATCGACTAGGCCGATTTAATATTAGGTTATATTAAAAATTGTAATAATCAATTAAAATAGCCAAGATATAAAATGCTTTTTTAGCATGTATCTAATATAATTGTCTTTAATATCCAATAAGATATTCAATTAGGTGAACTATCTGCATAGCAATATCAATATATAATATAAACACATTTGTAAGTTCAAATTTTTGTGATATGCAGTTGGAATCAATTATGTAACAAATCTTAATATTTAATATGCATGCATATATGTTTTCTTAATCAGGAGAGTTATTAATATGATTACATACAAATTATATAGGACAGTTTGACATCGCAGCATACCTAGATAAAATTTTAATAATACTCATTTATGTATATGTGATACTTACTAGTAGTGAAAATAAATTAGTAATAATTTTTTACCAATTAGCAAAAAATTATGCAGGCTGGCCTGAAATTTTTGGGAAATGATTACGTGTAAATCACAATACGCAACGACATATGTGATAGCATAAATAATTTTCAGAAATAAAATTTTTATACAATGAATTTTTTTTCATTTTTTTTTTTTAATGCGAAACTTTTATATGACTGGCCATTTATAACAATAACTAAAAGAACCGTTTATAACATGATCCATACAATTCTATCTAGTAAACACCTGTTATAGTAACGATTTAATGCAATAAAGAATATGAGCTTTAGCTAGCATGTCAGTTAAACTAAGTAGATATATTTTCAATTAGAATTGGATATAACCCCCAATTTTAATTAGGTTTATGTCCAATTCTAATTGAAAATATATCTATTTAATCTAATTGATAATATTAATTTTAACAATAAAGTAAAATATCTTGAAATATATCAGATATTCTGATTATAATTAATATTTTAGTTTTGTCCCATTGTTTGCTAATAGTATTTCTCAAGTAATGAAACATAAAATTATTAAAATAATTTCTTGTGCTAAAAGTTTTCAGAATTTGAAGGTTGTTGCTGTCGAGTTTGAATGAATTCAAAAGTAGAAACAACAGCCAAATTCATGTATGCCAAGTTTAAATATCAAACATCTAATACTAAGCCTGTACATATACCGGGTTGGTTAAAAGTCCTTAAACAAATTCCTCTTTTACTATTTCCACTAATATTTAACTTTATTATTTTTTATATGTACATATATATGTAATACAATATGTATATATAAAAAATAATAAAATTAAATATTAGCAGAGAGGGACTTGTTTAGGGACTTTTAACCAACCCAGTATGTAGTATTTTCATAATAATCTAAAATGTAGTTCAGGGCATGTGAAAATTTTTGTACACCTATGCCCTTTGATAAAGAAATCTGCACTAGTAAATATTATACTATAGTAATTCTGCATTAATATAATCAAAAACCAATTTATAGCAATTTTTGTATAATCTGTTCTTTAAAGATGGATAATGATCAATCATTTGATAATATTATTGGTGAAGTTAACATATCATTTGAGTATGAAGAACTCTATAATTTTGATGAAAATTTTGTTAACAATGATGAAAATTATGATGAAAATAATATTGGTGATGAAAATGATAATTATGATAAAAATGATAATCATACTGATGAAGAAGATAGTATAGCTAGAATTTTGCCCATTACATCTTACTTCCCTTCTTGTGAAATTCCTATACAAACAAATTCAAACCAAAATATAATACAAAAAAAAAAACAAGCTCGGTGTTAGTTGGGTATGGAAATATACTCATTGTGATAAAATAACCAAGATTAAATATTGTGATGTTTGTATAGATAATGATGATGGTACTTCTAAAAGATGCCTAGTAAAATTTATGCCCAAAATATCAACAACAAATATTGCTGCATATTTATGTACTGAACATCAAATTTTTAAAAACCAAAAGTAGGAGGCACAGCTGTCTGTATTATCAACCACAATTCCTACACCAACTACTCAACAAACAATTGAAAGAGTGATACAAAATCATATAGAAAATGCTTCGCCTCTTCCTGAACAACAGCAAAATTGTATTACCTATCATCTTGTTGCTTGGATAGTTAAAGAAATGATACCATTAAATTGTATCAATCATGATCAGTTCCAAGACTTTTGTTATGAAATTAATAAATAGTTTGAAGTTTCTTGTAATAATATAATTAAAAATATAATTAAAAAATCAGTACTTTATACAAATGCAAATCTAAGTGAAATGATGCGCCAAACGATAGTCTCTGTTTGCTTTACTATTGATTTATGGACTCAAAACCATATCCATGTATTAGCATAATAGTCTATTAGCTTTCTGAAACCTTTACAATGTACCAATTCTTAATTACAATCGAGCATTTTGCCTATTTACATACAGGAGATCGGATTAAAGATTTTTTGCAAGAAGTTCTTGCTAAATAGAATATATTTGATAAAGTTCAAGTAGTAACAACTGATAATACAGCATTGATAATTAAAGCAATCAGATAATTAGGCACTCCCATCTTGGCTGTATGGTTCATACTATTCATCTCGCAGTTACAGATGGTTTAAAAAAATGTGAAACTTTGATTGGACTTGCAAAATTATTAAATAATTTTTTAGTAAATCGTGATAAATATTGATTACTATTTCAAAAAATTCAATATGAGGTGATTAAAAATACAAATCCACTTACTACTGACATATACATTTTAGAGCCCATATCAAGTAACACTACCACTAGATGGAATTCCACTTATCTAGTTCTTTAGCGGCTTCTAGAACTTCAAGAGTCTGTTTTGAAATTTGCTAAAAATTTAATAAATGACCCTGACCATACTGTTCGTGTTGATGGTAATAGTCTAAATGATAAGATGCTTTCTGATAAAGAATGGACAGGTAAAAATAGCAGTAATTTAAAATATAATATTTAATATTACTTTAATTTTTTTTTTTTTTTTTAACTTTATAGGCTTGGAAGAGTTATATCAGATTTTATGGCTATTTGCAAGAGTATTAATATTTGTAGATGGTAATCAATATCTAATATTGAATATGATATATCCTACAATATGACTTCTTTTTAAAAGTTTAGATCAAATAAAAGTTAAACTTACGAATATTGAAGTTATTGAAATGCACCAAAGTCTTCGTGAATCAATAGTATCTTGATGGAATGATCCTGAAATAGTCGGATGGCTTACTACATTCTTAGACCCTCGCTTCAAGATATTATTAGCTGCCTTACCCACAATGCAAAAAGAAGTGATTCAGGAGTTATATAAAAAAATTGAATTTTCACACTATACAAGTAACTTACCAACTACTAATAAAGTATCAGATACGGAAATATCTTCTTTTTTTGATAATGGAGTTGAACCTTCTTCCTTTTTTCCAATTGATACTAAACTTCAAATGTATATCTCAATTCTGCAAATCTCTAAATACGATCCAAAAGATTTATGTTATGAGAAGTGTAATCCCCTAAGTTGGTAGAATGAGCATAAAAGTGCTTTACCTCTTCTCGCTGAGCAAGCAAGAATTCTTCTTGGCATTCCGGCAACTTCTGTATATTCAGAATGTCTGTTTTCTGACACCGGTAATACCATAACAGATAAACGTAATCGTCTGAGCACAGATACTGTTCATGACCTTTTGTTCTTAAAAGAAATTCAAAAATAATTAATGTATATCCTGGCTTGTAAGTTATGCGCAAGGATATTATTTGTATCAAAATTAGAATTTTTTTGTTTATGTATTTAAATCTTATCATTATATATTATTATATATAATTTTATATATACAGTATATTATAAATTAAGTTCTATTTACGTACTGTATGTATACATAGTATGTAACAAGAGATACATAGTGTTAAATATAATAAGTTATCGGCCAATCATATTTAGTTAAAGTCACGTGCAATGCAATTAACCAATTAGATTGATTAACTTCGACTTAACCGCCTAAGTCATTTTTTAAATATTGACTTAGTCAAGTCGATAAAAAAGGGTCAACTACAAACACCAGTTATAATTTAAAAAATAAGACTAATTTTAATAATATTGCTATTATTCCTTAAACTATATTCCAGACAAATTTGCCTAAAAAATTTAATTGTATTTAGTATTTTTTAAATAAAATAATAATATATATTTTTTTTTGTAATTTGGCTGCCTATTCTATTTTATTTAAGACTGAGAATTTCAACAAAAATATTATATTCTCGTATTTTAACCTATATCATCTAACCAAAATATGGCTCACCAACATCTTAAAGGTGCCAATGCGGCTTGTTTCAGTAGCAATTGGCCTTCTTTTTGGTCACCCACTTACAAGAGACTTTTTTTTTTATCAGTCCTTGACTGGCTGCTACAAGCTCATCAAGAAGCAAAAAAACAAAACAAAAAATACTAACAAAAAGGGAAAAAAAACACAGAGATATAGGGGAGTACAATAAAAGATACAAATAAGAAAAGAAGAGGGGTAGATAATATAATAAGAAAATAAACCAAAAATGCTATCCTAATATCACCATTATATGTTTGTCAAAGGCTTGTAAAAATTATATACTATTAAACAAGCTAGTCTTTACTCTAAACCTATTTAATTAGTATATCTAAGTAAAACCTAATAAGAAAAACTCCTTTGACTTTATTTCAAAATACTTCTGCTAACAGATAGTATCCTGATTGTAGAGAGGTCAGAAATGCGTCTCAGAGTATTGCTTGTACAAATTGTTGATATATTCGAGACACATGTATTTATATGTTTGTTGTTACTGATCCAATTTGGAAGATAAACAATGCTGACTAATTGATGCATGTGATATTGATATTTTGGAAGTGGTAAACTGAAATGCTTACTTTTTACAAAATTTCCTTGAAAAAAAGTGGTAGGCCAAAGGATATATGTGAGATTCTTCTTGTAAGTTTTATAGTTACTATATATCATCCAGTCTCTAAACTTCTTTTACTCTTGGTAAGAGTTTAGCTACTTCCTGTTCTCAGAATAAATCTTCTGGTTTGGATACTGAATATTCTTGAAAGTCAGCTAAACAAAAAACTTAACCCAAAGAAAAACTATCAGAAAATATTTGCTTCTCGATATATCACATTTGACTTAGGTTTCATCAACAACAGCCTGCTTAATGTAGAACCAAAAGTAGTATCTATTTAGTTGCTTTCTTATACTTTTTACTGTAGTTCGATTTTTTATTGTTGGCCAAGAGATCGTTGGAAAGAGTTAATTGTGAAAAATAATAATTTATTAACACTTTTACTATAA